ACAGTGGTTTTTAATGCTTATTCATCTTCCAAAAAGCTTCACTAAAAACATAATTTTGATAAAATCAAAAAGCAGTTGTGAATATTAATTATATTTAAAACATTACACTACACTGCAAAACACCAGGATGTGTTAAATACTGCACTCTAAGAACCTATAACCAGTGTGATATAAAAACAAAGGATAAAGATCACCACAAACGTATTCAAACTGCTGTGAGTTCTTCCTCAGGTGTGAAACTGAATTACTGATGGGACAGAGCAAACAGTTAAAGGAAATTCAAGAAACAGTTAGGTGTTACGTGAGACGCATGTGTGTTCATCTAGTTAACATATTGTGACCTTAACATTTGGAGTCCATCAATGCCTGCCAGGCTAGCGACAGAACCAACTCATGCTTAAAATTGATGCAGTTGTCATTGAGGGATGATTTGTAAATTTGAATGGCCTCAAGCCACTTAAAGTGTTTGTTGTATGACGTAATGTGTACAAGTTTTGCCTGGTGGAAGGCTGCCATAATATCTGGGTCAGTGGCATATGCAGCAAAGGCAGAAGTACTTCTCTGATGACATATGTCCGCTATGTATTCCTGTACTCTGAGTTCTAAGGAGCATTTTGTGGATCTAATGTAAACGAGGTCCCTATCAAACCTGTTGTCCCTAATGGGAATACTATATACACCAAGGAGTCTGTTCTGGTTCAAACCTGTTGTCTCATTAGGGACAACAGGTTTCATAGGGACCTCGTTTACATTGGATCCACAAAATGATCTTTAAAATTAGAGTATAGGATACAAATTTGACTTACATAAAATTAGTTATGTAAAGATCTACAGTCCACATTACTTATATACTGTAACTTGGGGTATTATTGTAACATTAAACAAATGACTACAATAAATTTTTATTGTATCAAGAAGTCATCTTGACATGACAATGTAGTGAGAGAATCATCATCTTGCTTATGTGTCAGACAGAAATAAAAAATAAAAAGTACCAACAAACTCATTTGGTTCTTCTTGTCAATGATGTATACAGTAGAGCATCGATTATCCGACCCAATTGGGGACTAGGGTCAGTCGGATAACCAAAAAGTATGAAAAAATCCATTATTAGTGTAGTATATTAGTATATCGCTATTAACCTACTTCACGTTGAATTTTCCTCCATGTTAAGCCTATCAAAATTTTTTTTAAATAATAATTGTCGCTATTGCATCGTTAAAAATTATTTCTTTATTTTGCACAAAATAAATACAGTACTGTACTGTACACTGAAAAATATTTAAAAATATACAGCCAGCTAGTATTCACACTACTATAAACCCTTCGCCTCCTGTAAGTTTTGAGAATGTCCCGGGAAATCCAACACCAGCTGTTCTCAAGGTCATCCAGCTGTAAACACAATGACTCATCAGTGTCAAATTTCGCAGAGAGGCTGAGACAATAGAAAATAAAGTTTGAAGCTTTTTCTTCAAAAATAACACATTTCTTTCTTTTTTTTCAGTTTTAAGTATTTTTTATGTTTAATTATAATGTAATTAAAAATTGATCTGAGAGGAAGCGGTTAACAAGAACATTTATTAGCTTGTGCATATCCGACTTGGATCTTACACACAAGACATCTGCTATCATGAACAATTGACGAAATAAAAGTGTACATTTATCAGAGAATAGACAAAGACTCAGTTTGTAAACAATTTACCTTTTGTATATACAACTGACACTCGATCCATAGCGGTCTTTCAGTGACCGGACATAAAAAATGAACAGATGACGCTTAACTTAAGTGCGATTTACAAAACGAATATGATTAATCTTAACACAACCACTCATAATTAAAAAATTAAGCTTCGTTTAAATACTGGCCTCCCTTTCATGGTCGAGCCAGTGTAGCCAGCTAAAACACGCAAAAATTTAACAAAAATAATATCAAAGTAGCCAAGACATAGCCAAATATTGTAGTGCCACATCACTAGTGGACATTTGAATTTGCCGACTAGAACACGGTCGGTTAACCGAGGTGACGGTTAATCGGGGGTCGGATAATCAATGCTCTACTGTATTTATAACGCCATTTATTGGATGGCTCACAAACAAATACAGGTAACCCTAATATAACATGATAGTTATGTTCTGAAAAAGTGCAGTGTTATGCAAACCCATGCTATACAAATCAAAGGACTAATACAAAACATGGGATTAGGTTTCAAAAGTTAGCAAAAGTATACTATCCTTTTCCATTACTAACAGAAATATGTTTATTAATTAATTAATTAATTAAAGCAGTCAATAATTTAACTAACAATCACAATTAAAAGTATTGTATTACACATTAATATTAATTTTAGTTAAATTAGGACATTTTCATTTTACAAAATATCATCTGAGCTTTTTTGCTGATCTCTATCAGAAATACTGACAACACTTTGTTTTTTTTTTCATAAAATTTTTTTATGTATGGCAAAATAAAAATATGTTATTAATTGAAAATATGTTCTAGGGGGTGGGTCATGTTTGTTCAATCAAGTACAAAGGGATTTTTCCCCCAAATTGTGTGTACCAAATTGTTCAATTTGGAAACAGTTTGAGTACCGAGATACCACTGTATTTTGTTCATCATTTTTACAAATGATTATTTACCTACAGTTAAAAAAAGATTAATAGATTAATAACACATACCTAAAAATGTTTAAATAAACTTTACTAAATACAAAGATTAATCTATAAAAACAAAATACGATGACAGTCTTAGAAACTAAAATCAACACCACCACCTGCTTGATAGGAAAGCAACACCACCACCTGCTTGATAGGAAAGCTAGGACAAGAAAGAAAGAAAAAAAAAATTTTAACTATTAGTTTTCATTAAACCTGACAAAAGGCACAAAAGAAATTGAAAATTTTGATATTCTAAAATACGTGGGCAAATTTGAGGTAACACGCTTGCTTACTTGAATAAAAAATATCAAATAAAGGAGTTTGCACTTAAAAGTTATGAAATTTTGTATGGAGGATTTCCCAAATTCTCAAACTGTGTTAGAACAAAACCATGTTATAGAAGAACTGTGTTATATTACGGATACCCACATCTCCAAGACTATCTTTGTTTAAAAAATGCTTTAGGCTTAGCTTAAGATGTTTTATCTTAAATAATCAAATAATGATTAATAGTGTCAAATTTTGCTAACTTAACCATGAAGACTTTTGTTATTCATTGTCTTGAAATAACATAACATACCTTTTTTCACTGTTGATATGGAGAAATTTGAAAGTATGCTCCAGTGATAAATTAAGAAATTTCTTAGCAGTTTCACAAAATTTTTTAATTACTATGTAACACAATATATTTTAGATATACACATGGTACTTTAAGATCCTCTCAAACTGCATTATTTTATTGCTAATGCACTAAGAAAATAAGTGACAATGAAAATTTATATAATTATTACTATATGACAAACTTTTTTATCACTGAAAAATTGCCTAAGTATATGATACCCTGCTAGAGATTAAACGTGAGAAATTAAAATAAAATCACAAGTTTATTATTGATTTATTTAGTAATATTAAAGGTAAAGGCAAGTGAATCAGACAGTGGTAAATTGGATTGAAATAAAGTAATTAAATATGAAAAAGGCCAAGACAAAAATTGTTCTCAGGTGGTTAATTAACAGTAAAATATTAAAACTATATCACAATAGTTTGATACAGTTTCTACATAAAGCTAATATACAAAGCCTAAAAATCTTTTGAAGAAATATGATAAATTTAGGTATATTTTTGTTAACTTCTTATTCTATATTGTTTAATAAAATCTGTTAATATTGCAGTTGTAGTATAAAATATGAAAATCACATTAGTAATCCAACACATATTTTGTACAGTACAAGGATTATAATCTATATCATTTATTTTTATAGTGATGTTACCAAAATGTAAGTTTTTGATTTTATACAAAAAAGAAGGTAATTTAAAAATCAGTGGAAATTAAATGAAAACAAATAATTTTAAGACTAATAAGTAAGATTAAAGAAAGTTAACAATAATAAGAATTAATGAGAAAACTCAAAGATTTCTCATTTTTAAAAAATCTTGATATGTGCACCATTCATTAATCCCAAATATCATGATGATTTTCAATCTGTCTAGGTATTATGTAACATGTCTTAAGTGACAGTTCTAACTGTATTTATTACACAGCCTTTTAATGTTTAAATATCTAAATAGGTGTTTAATAAACCAGTTCCTTAATATCCTCACAAGAAGTCCAAAAGGAAATGAGATGGAAGCCAAACTGGTCCTATCATTCTATCCATAATTAGGAAAAAATTATTCAAAACTAACTGCAGCAATAGCATGCCCCATTTTTGTAATGCAGATAACAGCTTTTGTGTTTCATAACAATTACTGAAACCATGTGCTCTGATCTGTTTTCCTTAAATACATAATACTTTTCATTATCATTCAGTTCTTTATCCAACATCTTTTTAACTGTAACCTGCTGGAGTTATGGTAAGTGGCACATAGTAATGCTACAAGTGTTCTATACTTCTCTGTAATAATTTCACATTTTATACCGTAAATATATCCCTAAATGCAGAGATGGTAATTCAATGCATCCAGCATTTTCAGAATGATTCAGAATTACTGTTTAGAAAACTGAAATGATAATTTTTTCACAAGAAAATTTAGAACCATTTTTTAATTTAGGAAAAAAAAAGTAAGAAATGAAACATATAAGTCTTTTTTTCTTTGACATCAGTTTAAAAGTCTGTTATGGTGATATTTTATAATTGTTTTTGCAATTTTGATCTAATTCATCTACCTTTACCTTCAATTTATTTGTAAACCTTGAGATTTCAAATAACTCTTGATTAAAAAGAGTTTAGACTAGAATATCGAGTGAAATTTAAAGATTATTTTTATTTTTTTAAATATTAGTGGCTTATTAATATAATAAATATATTGAATGATAGAAGCCTATTCAGGCCCCATCTAACCATTTATATAATAATCAGTCCAATAAATCAATAATTTAGTTTGCAGGTTTATCCTTCACTCTCACGATGACTGCCTTGCAGATCATTCACAGTTTATCTTAGTGAAGAAAAACATCTATAAAAACAAATTAAAAAACATTACTTATGTTCTTATTATAATTTTTATTAGACTAACAAAAACTAAAACTTACATCAACATCTATTTAGCAAATCAAAACCTATGAACTGTATTTACATTTTATCAAACATTTTATCAAAGAAAACTTAAAAAACCTATTATTTCAAAAACAAATTAATTCTATAAAATTTAATAAAATTTTATTTCAATTATCTATACACATATATCAAGAATAAAACAGTAGCTGAGTTGTTTCTTTTATTGATTGTACATAGTAGGTGTTTGATCAAATATTTGGCATTTGGAAATATTCAGTATTCAATACTTCCTCAATGCCAAACTATTTGGTCAAGTAATCTCATTTTAGTTGGGAAAGAAAGAGACAGGAAAGAAACAAAATGAAATGCAAAATAGAATGAAAAGAGCATTTAAAAACTCAGATATTTAAAAATATTGTTATTTAACCTTTTCTGAAACAAATAATCTAATAAATGATCTTGAGCAAATATTTATTAATAATCATAGTTCCTTCATTACCCAGTTTATCACCTTTTTGTCATTCTTGAAATATGATTATTAATAATCATAATTCAAGGACGATAAAGTTTCCATTAAATAAATTTTTATATTTAATTATTTTTACAAAACAATATTACACACTCAACACCAAAACCATGTACACATTAAGAAAACACTGTCATCTGGCATAATAGTAGTTTTAATTGTGAAAAACAAATATGCAAATATTTTCAACATTGCATGTCATCTCCAGACAATGAAAAATGTATTTAAAATACATTATCTCACATATTTGTTTTGTTAGAATTAAAATTCTATGTGCAGAGGCTAGAACTTCTATATATTATTGCAAAACACCTTTCTCACTGTTTCTAGCAAGTTTTTTAATTAAATTAAAGGAACTAATGTTTTCAACTATCTCATATAGCATTCTTTTAAGAATGTCATGTGAACTTACAATTTTACAAATTTATCTCTGTATTTTTATAAATGTGTCTTTATACATTATCTAGTTATTTATTTCTGCTTAATTCTTCATATATCTGCATTAATTATTCACTAAATTTGTTAAATTTAACATATACTTGTAATTCCATTTGATGTTTATTTGACATTTATTTTTGATTTTCACTAGGTTTGTTAAGTTTAATGTATAATTATAATCTGATTTGATGTTTTTTTCTGTATTTAGTTTATTTTATTTAAATTGTATAAGTTTAAGAATTTCAAATTTTGTAATATCGTGATGTCATAAAAATGCAAACAAAGCTCAAAGTTTTAAATCTTATGTTATAACTGATGTTCCAAATTATGCTAAACATGAAGAAGGCTATTTGAGATAGCTGAAAACATTCGTTGTTTAATTTAATTAAACAACTTGCTAGAAAAAGTGAAAGGTATTTTGCAATAATAGTTAGAATTGAAATACTATAAATTCTGAAAGTCTGGGTTTTAATGCTTATCTGGTTTTTGTAATTTACAAAAAAAAAAAAACTTCATATTTAAGAAAATTCTTTATCTATACTAATATTATAAAGAGGTAATGTTTGTATGTATGTAAGTTTGGATGTAGCAGGTAATCTCCGAAACTACTCATCCGATTTCAAAAATTCTTTCACCAATATTTAGAATGGAACCTCAGGGTGGACATAGGATGTATATTATTCCGTTAAACATTCATATAAATTAAAATATATAATCTAGGTTAAGGCTTTTATGTCCAACAGATGGCGCTACGAGTATGACGCCCTAAGTTTGCTTTTCTGTGAGGCATTATGCTTTTCTGTGAAAATGAACTAAAGCAGATCATCTTCTATCTATCTATATAAATAAAAATGTAATGTTCGTTTGTTCCTACCGATTCCTTTGAAATTTTGACACAACGCTGCATTCGAATACGCACGTGTTTTTATATAATATACGTGTCGAAATTCCCCCCACTGAAGGGAGATGGTTAGGATTAAGGCTTACCGTAAAGAACTCTGCTTCTATTTATACTATTTTAGATGCGGTTTTTTGCGTTTTTGATTGCGTTTTAATAGGGTACGTCAACAGAATGTACACTAAGAAGAAATTTTTCGAAAAATTTCCCCCCACGGGGGAAGTGTTATACATTTATAATAGATACATTTTGAGCCACAACAACGTGTGGCGGGGTCTTCTAGTTATTTAATATTGTTTTTCCTTAATCATGGATTAATCCTTAATCATGGTTATTTCCTTAATCATGGATGTATTTCCTTAATCATGGATTAATATGTCCAATAGAATGTATGATATATACAACAACCCAATAATTAAATCAAAAATTGAACAAACACCTGGATTTCTTTATTGGGCTACTTAAAGCTAATTTAATTAAATATTGAGTAATTTGTCTAGGAGGAGGCAATTAAGCTATCATCTCTAGATAAATTTAATAATCAGAAATAGAAAAATTTAATTTAGATTATTACGAAGAAAAAAAATCAGCCCAGAGCAGGACTCAAACCTACAACTCATCCTTACTGTACAGATATTTTACCAGTTCAACATTTGCATTTGGCAATTTGTATGTGACAGAAGGAACTGTGTTTTTATTAGAATTACAATGTCTCAAAAAACTCATGTAAATAAAAAAAATAAAGGTATTAAAAAGTTTATTGTTATTTCTTTATATTGATTAAAATTATATTGCTAACACATATTTTATGGAAATTCTAAGTCTTAAACTTTATAAACTTAAATGAACAGTATGTGTGATATTTAACGTATTTTCAACCCATAATTACATCAAGTTTTTGCACATCGCTAACTTCTTGATGTAGCTTAAGTAGAAAATACAGTCATTTATCAATATCCTCAGAAAAATCTGTATAATTTTTGGTTTATTTTGTAAGGTGTATATGCTAATCAATCTTGAATCCGACCACATATTTACTGCAACAAACAGAATATCTACTATACATATTTACTCAATTATATTAAAATTATTTTATAATGCATTTGAAAAGATAAGACAATATGACCATGATAATGATAAAAAGTTTACATATCATTAATATAAACCAAGATAACTAACTACTCAGAATTAAATAAAATGCTAAATTCAAAGTTTGTGTAACATTTTTCAATACTGATATGAAAAAAAACATTGAAACACTTCATTGATATGGAAATGTCTAAACCATGTCAAAGATATACATAGCTGAAAAAATTCTTCTAGATAAAAGTTTTATTAATAAAAAATTGTATTGCAGAAATGAAAATTAAGCAATATGTAGGAAAATAATTATTCACCTACTACATTTATTATTCTTTGGAACTATCAGTTGATACTGGTTGTCTTCTACATCAAAATAGATATACTCAGCAAACAATTTTAAAATGTTTCTTTCTGTAATGAAACAAAGAATGAAACTTCATTACTGGGAACAGATATTACAAAATTAATAACCATTTACGAAATGTCATGATATGTCTTAATTAGATCATGTTAAATCTTTTGAATAAAATCATTTGGAATAAATGTCAAAGTATTTCATAAACATGAAAAATTCTTTTGTTTTAACCTTCACTAACACATTCTACATGTCTGCAACTATTTCTCAGAGATACAATATATAATAATAATAATAACTAACTTGGTTGTCATGAAAAGAGCTATTGTACAGTACATGTTTGTCTTTCCTTATACAAGAGAGATACTAAAATTATAAAAAAAACTCCAACTAAAATATGTTGGGATAACAAAAATAATTTTTAAAAATCTTTTCTCAACTTTAAACTGTACATTTCTTTTGACTAAATTAGTTGTTTATAGATTATTTTATCAAAAAATCCAGCAATAAGTTGCATAATTTTCTCTGCTGTTAAAGGTATTTTTTAAATAAAATCTCATTTTATTTATTATATTGTAATTAAAAATAGAATTGTGAATTGTGTTTTATGAGATTCTGTTATGAAAAATTTTATATATTTTATCAAATGGCAGAAAGTTTAATTTTGAAAGTCATGATGAGTTTTGTAAAAAAATCGTAAATGCTAATAATGAATAACATCATTAAATCCAACCCCTCTCAAGATATGACACACGAAGACAGTCTCTCCCTCCACCAAGTAAAAACATCCGAGATATAAAAACTTGCAAAAAGTAAAAAATTATGACAATGTAGATGATAGCCAACATTATTTTTCTTGGGCACTTTTCTCTGATAAAGAGAAGCTTGGCACTTTGAAGCATAACCACAAGAATTTTATTTGTATTATTGTTTTCTATATTTTGCTTCAAAGTACCAAGTTTATCTTTACCAAAGAATAACTAACAAAAAAATTTGACTGCCATCTAAATTGTCATAATTTTTTACTTGGTGAAACTTTTTTTTATATCTCAGATTTTATTTTTTATATCAATTGTGTTATTACATCAAAAACTAAGATGCTGATGTACTGTACAGATTGGTTGGTGCTGAATGATGGCCATGGGCTAAACACTTTTAATAACCATTTCGTAAAATTATAAAAGTTTTAAGTTGCATAAATTTGAGCTTTTGTTTTTCTGAATATATTTGGGACATTTTACAATAAGTCATTCATTTCAATGCCATTTTATCCTTATAATCATAAAATAAACTGATATAACAGCTCTATGGGAAACCCCTGTGAACTTTGCTCTTTCGACCAGAAAGTTTTGCAAGCACCTCACTGATAATGAGCGGGTTTAAATTTGAAATTTGAGCTTTCTAGAGCCAGTAGTTTTTCTGTAGAAGAATCTGCAGTGCTGGATGACAGAAAAAGGAAGGAAAACATCTACAAGTAGCAGAAATATATTTCTTATGGTGCAGTTGTTTCTATATTACTTTAAATTAATTCTTCAAAAATTCTTCTGAAAGAATTTGAAAAACTTAATGGTTTCCAAGGACAGTTGGAAATGTCTTGGGGGATAGAACATCGACACCACAAAACTGTATAATTTACAAATAAAAAGAAATTTAAAATTTGATAACGGGTGCAAGTAACATCAAAATCACCCAAAATGCATAGTATAATAAAGAACTAACATATATAACATAACCCCTTAGTAGTTGCCTCTGTTGAAATGCTGTTAGATTTTAAAAAATTATACCGTCGGTATAATTCTGCATCAACCGTTAAGTTTTTCAAATTCTTTGAGAAGAATTTTTGAAGAATTAATTTTAAAGGAAAACATCTTTTTAGCACATTTTGCACTTTTCAATTGCTTATATTTCAGCAACTGCTTTAAAGTAAAATATGAAATTTTGCACACTAAAAATACAATTATCTATCAAACAAAATATTCAGAATTATTTTAGGTGTTTGGAGTAAAGAAATCAACCTCCAAAAATTGGCAACCCTTATATATATATGAAATCAACTTTGCAGATTTTTGCTGTGAAATTTGAAATTTCAGGCATATTGGAGTCTACAATTAAGATTCAAAAAGTGAATGTAAGTCAGAACTGAAAATCACGACAGTGACTATGGCAAGTGAAAAGAGAAGACTATATATTATATTATATATATGAGGCAATTTTTTAAATAAGTACCATTTTGATATTAAAAAAACACAACTGCAATTTTTAAAAATAATTTTATTCTTACACGAAAGCATGTACCTTAATCTACCTTTCAACATAATTTCCTCCAATATGAAGGCACTTTTCATATTGTACAACTAGCTTCTGAATTCCATCCTCATAAAAACCTGCTGCCTGATTGGCTAACCACTGCAGCACGGTGTTTAGACATCGTCATCATAGCGCTGACTGCCTAGATGCCTTTTCAAGTGAAGGAACAAGTGGTGGTCACTAGTCGCTAGATCAGGACTATACAAAGGGGGTGATCAAGTTGTTCCCAGCCATATGACATAATAAGATCTCAGGTTTGTTGAGCCACATGCGAACAGGCATTGTCATGAAGCAAAACAATCCCCTTACTGAGCTTACCACACTTTTTGTTTTGGATGACAAAATTGTAAAGCGTCTGTTTTCTCAAACTTTTGCAACAACTTTCTGCACCAAGTCTTCAGGAATGAAAGATGGTTGCCCACTATGCTCCTCGTCATGGTCATTAATGCAGCTATCTTTAAATGCTCTAACCCATTTTCTTACCATTGCATCGCTCATAATGTTTTTTCCATACACCTTGCTAATCTGCTGATGAATGTCAGCTGCTTTTACATCTTTTGCATTAAAAAAACAAATCACAGCACGTACTTCACAATCAGTGGGATTTTCAATTGTCTGAGACATTTTAAACATGCACAAACAGACGTAAATACTCGGCGCACATTTGCGGAACACCAACCGTAGTACTGCAGCGGTCCTACTTTAAAACAGTACTTACTTAAAAACATAACACGTGTATATATATATTCTATTATTCAAAAATTTTCTATTTTTTTAAACCCCTACATAAAAAATACATGTACTCAAAATTATTCAGCCTTTTGAGATTTCTATCCTTTATTTTATATAAATACATATATTACAAGATGCTGTAACAAAGCTGACAGAAACTATGTACAGTACTATTACATTATAAGTCAAAAAGCAACAAAGTATGTATGATCATTAGAACTTCATGAGAAAAAAAAATCCATTATTCTGAGTTACAAATCCACTAAAAAAAAAAGATAAAATTACATTGATTTGGCAGGATCTGGAGAAAAAAATTTGTTATTCCAAAAAATCCATCCACAATCCATTAAAACAAGATTCTACTGTATTTCTTTTTCATAGAATGTTGGAACATTATAAAATATTCATTTGCAAGTACAGTAGAACCTCGAAAACTCGGCTCTCGATAACCCGGCACTCCGGATAACTCAGCCACACACTGGCAGGGCAAAAAAATCCTTAGTTAATTAATTTTCATTATAGACAGCTTTATAAAAGTATAAAAGATCTCATAAAGTATTTTTCTGAGATCTGTCTTTTCAGGTAAATTACTGTACACGGTGTATTCATTAATTTTCATTTTCATGTAGTAAAGGCTCTATGCCTTCATAAAGGACGTACTTTTCCTTTGTTTAGGGGTATTTGGGCAGTTTATTCTCTGTTATATTCTCAAGTAAACAATACATACAAGTACAGTACAGTATTTTCTGAGGAAACACTC